TGAGCTGATGTTTGCATTCACTTCTCTTAGTTTTGGTGGGCCAGTGGTGGGACAATCACCCCCTTCTCCTCTCAGTGTGAAGCTGATGAGAGCCAGTAGTGGGAATGGTGAGCTCCTTGCTCCTGCTGCTGAGCAGGTTGCATGGAGGGTTTCTTTGCTGCTGTGGAGTGAGTTGCTGCTTGGCAAACTCACAGTATCTTATTAACTGGGCTTAGAGGATCTGTGAGGAGTGAGAAAGGTGTTTCCAGTGTGTGCAGAATGGAAATGAGCAGTAGGTAGAGGAAACTCTCTCAGCAGGAGCTTCCCATGCCTGTGCAGACCAGACAAATGGTGGGGGGCCCTCGGTTCTTTGGATTAGCTCCACATTTGGGCACAGTTTTTTGTCCTGGTCAGTGAACCTGGATGAAGGAAGCTGTCCAACTATTCTGTGCTAGGTTTGCAAGGGTGAAAAACCTGTGAAGAAAGTTACTGTCCTTGGTTTGACACAAAGCACAAAGTTTGTTCCACACGAAGTAGTCTGACATGAATAATATTGCTACTAACTCCAGGTGTGTGAGGAGATGGTGGTTGAGCTCATCTCCTCTTTTTTTACCTCAGCTACTCTTTTCAATAAGGTAGCAGGGTTGGGTTTTTTGGTGGTGTATTTATTGTGATCATTAATTCACATAACACAATATATAAAGGACATACACCACCTTCTGCACTGTCTTGCTGCTGACAGAATGATGGCAGTGACTAATGCTGTGCATCAGTGTGGGCAGGCATTACATATGAATATGTAACCCCCTCTGTCATGATAGATAAAACTGCTGAGAATATGGGTCCTCACTCCTTTGTGACTGTGAATATTTAATTCAAGAGATGGCTGAAGACATTATTTTTCCTGGTTTGTAAAAATGATACCTTGCTCTTCCCAAGTGATCTCTACCATTGCTGACTTACATTTATCCCATTATTGTGGTGAAAAATGAGGACTACACGTTTCCTTTTTAAAACAGCTGGGCAGCATCACCACATTAGAATAATTCCCCACACCCTTTACAACAGAATCTTTGTTTCAGCTGAGAAGAAAATATTCACAACATTTTTTGGATGAGAGGTAAAATAAAAAAATCTAAGGTAGTGTTTTCCTTGGCAAATCCACCAACGGCAGTGCTGCCATCACCCAAAATGCATGATGTGCTCTGGGGTCTTACAAACGCTTACACAGAGTGACCCATGAAGTAAGTTACGTTAAACTGTGCCCTTTGCAGGGACCTGCCTTGCATCTTGTGCCTCATTGGATGAAAAGTGTCAGACTCAGGGGTAATCTGTAGCAATTTTGCAGGGTCTGGCCTGAGTTTGCTTTCTGCTCATTGCAAGAAGGGCAAGTTCCTTTCTCCCTCTGAGGGCTTCACATCCATCCCTGAGCTCAGCTGGAGAAGTCAGGCTAGTACTTTACTTTGCACTGACTACCTTCTGGTGCAGAGTTTCAGTGACAAATGTCATCATTCCTGTTATGAGCATGAAACAGATGAGCTAAGAGAGGACTGTCTTACATCAGTTTCAAAGGGGAGAGACACACAAGGAGCCCAAGCAGAGTTCAGATGCTCTAGGGATGCGGTTGCAAATGATGCAGCTTTTTATCTTATCACCTTAGGTCAAGCTTTCTTTAAGCAGCTCAGTTGTTACTCCAAAAGGGGCAGTAAATTGTTTCCTGTGCTTAAATATTATATTTGGGTCAGTGCTGCTTGTAAAGATGCAATTCAGAAATGAAATGCACTTACTGGCTGCCATTCTAAGGATCCTGTGTATCTGTCTAATCTCAGGTTTCCCTAATGTTTTAAGAGCAGAATTTGAGAGCCATGTCAGTGGCATGCCTCTTGCCTCAGTTTTACTGCTGGTATTGCTTTGTGACTCTCCTTGGAGACCTCTATATGATCCTGCACACTCTAATGCTCCCTTCAGCAAAACCTCTTAAAGGATTACTTTGACTTGTGATAAGAAGTGTCAGGGAACACTTGACAGATCGGAAACTCCTAACAGAGCAGTCCAGTTTACTTCCTGGGCTTTTTTTTTTTTTTTTTTGGCTTCTTATTTATGTTTTAAAGCGGTCAAATTGCCTGCCATGCCTGGAAGGGCAGGTGGGATTTGGTTCAAGACTCAGTGTTTAGCCTAGAAGAGGGTGGGGTGGGAATGTGTGTATTGAAGCTTGTACTGAATGTATGTATGAAGGAGAAGCTTTCCCTTTGACAGCCCATGATATAAAGTCTTATACTGTGTCCTCTACAAGCAAGGCTGAATATCTGCAAGGGAAAACTCCAGAGGGCAGCAGCAGGTGGAAAGAGCAGCTGAAAATCGGCATCAGGCTCACAGAGGAGTGGCAGAGGCTGTGAGAAGTGGAGCTGCTCCCTGGACCCTACCTGTGTACGTGGCGCTTGCTGAAACTCAATCCAAGTCCCTCCCAAATGCAGGTCAGTGTTGTTCCTCCATGTGAGCAGAAGCTGTCAAGTCGTCCTTCTACCCAACACTAGCATGGGAGAAATTGTTCTGTTTGTGAGACTTGATGGTAGCACCATAACCTCTTGGCCAATGACTGGAGGCTAAGTACTGGCATTTGATGTTGTAAGTGAGGCTCCTGCTAGGGCAACTTGCTCACTCTGGGTGAGAATGAAGTTGCATTCAGTGACAGAGATTTGCAAGAGCATATGGTTGAAAACTTGTCACCAAGTCACAAGTAAAGACCTCTAACAGGCAGTGCTATTTGTGTATTCACAGAGTCTGTCTTCTATGTCATGTGCTTCATGGAGGGTATCTTATGAGCTTAATTATTTTATGAGCTTAATTTCCTCTTCATCAGCCCAGGAGCATTCACAACTTCCCTGGGCAACCCATTCCAGTGCTTCCCCATCCTCACAGTAAAGAACTTCTTCCTTATATCCAATCTAACCTAAACTTCCCCTGTTTAAGTTTGAACTCGTTACCCCTTGTCCTATCACTACAGTCCCTAAACCATGACCCTTTGGGGTTTTGTGTGTGTTTTTTACCCCAAACTTCGCTGTTGGCATTTTGAAAATCAAAGTGTTGTCCAAAGTCAGAAGAGATGCAGACCAAAAAAAGGCTCTGAATGTCCTGTGCCAGGTGAACAGTGTGTGTTTGCACAGGGGACAGACTGGCCAGGAGACCTGACTGCCAGTGGGTGAGTGTTGAGTTTGGCAAGAATAGAGAGGCATGTGGATTTCATCCTAGGATTAGCGAACGAAGACAGACCAGAAATCTCAGCTTGGGACAGCCTTGACAGCATTCTGTTTTTATAGTAAGGGCATTGATAAAATTTACTAGGGACTTGTGTTTACGTCCTCAAAAGCATTGACGTTTTTAAAATCCCAGAGGGAAAGTGACCTCTTCCCTTTCATGCCCCTTCAATGAGAGTAGTTTTGGGCAGCATTACTGGTTATATAGGGATGACCTGGAGTTGCCTATCAGGTATGAGAAGTTCATCTCTCCCGTTTCTCTGAAATCCTTAACAACTAGTAACTGAGCTACACAGTAACCATGCAGGACTGATATATTAACTATATCTGAGTCTGGTACAGTTTGGGGCAGAAAACCTGTGATCATACAGCTGAGCTTTGATAGGGCTAGACGGAGAACCAGACTGCCCTTGACTCGTGAGTTTGGTTTTGTTGTATTTCCAGGCAGATGAGTTTGTTTTGCCCTTTCAAAGGGGGTGTGTGAACTTCTTACTGCAGCTGATAAGCCCCTGTGAAAGCCTGAGCACAGTAGCTCAGGCATGGTGGGTGCTGACAGGGTCGTGCAGCTCTTCCTCCTCCGGCGGAACTGTCAGGGTGAGCTCCTGCCTGCCCAAATTGCACCTTCTGCCTCCCACTTCAGCCAGTGGAACTAAGCTTTCTTTCCAATCTGGTGGTGTTTTGCCAGTGCTTCTGCAGTGATAAGGCGAAGATTTTATAGACGCTTTGGGCATGTGGTTACAGACAAACAACTCTGCTCTGTGTCAGGCGGGCCTCAACTTCTGAAGAGGCGGATGTGTGTGAGACTGCTGAAAACAGCTTTCTTTGAGCTCACCTCTGTGGAGCCTTAATGCCTGACAGGCATGCTTGCCTCTCCTGAGCATCATTTCAGCAGGCTTCAACCCAAAGGAGACAAGGTAAAGCTCTCTTTAGTCCCTTGGACTGAGTGTGTGTGAGCATGTGTGTGCGTGCCTGCGAACATGTGCGGAGTGCAGGGGTGAGGACTGCCACAATCCCCCATGTCTCTGAGCTGAGGTGCAGCCCACGGCAGAGGCAGAATGCTGTGCATGGAAATGACGGAGCTGAAATGAAAAGATGACTAGCGGACAGGGGAAAAAATCTCTTGAATTCCAGTATGAAATTAGCTCCTTTTTATCAAATCTGTGCACTGTTTAGGACATGCATAAATCATATGTTAAAGGTGCTACAGGGATGAATGCAGAGTACATCTGTCTGCCTAAGCCTTTACCCAGGGGTAGACTGACTGGAGGGAAGGATAAGCACCCTGGGAGCTCCTGACCAAGAGACGTAAGCCTTTTTGCTTAGGTTGCTGTATTACAGGACTGTCTGTACACAGGAGTTGGGATTATTTTCTGCTGTTGATTCAACTCCAAGAGCTAAATACCACCTCACATAATAAATGACCCAGTAATCATTAACAGTTTTAGAGGCAAAACTTGATGCTTTCCAATATCTTTTGCAAAAGATAAGCAGGGTCTGTTACCAATTTACAGGGAAAGTGAATAAAGAAATTCCTGAATGATTGTCCCCCTGGCCTCAATATATCTTCTGGGAAGAACTTCCTAAAGCCCAAGAACTAAGGCTGCAGAAGAGGAGACATTAACCAGGCCTGGTGATTCATTTATCGTTTAGGAGACACCATTGCTGCTTCATTTCTTTCATTTTCCACTACAGAAGACCTTTATTTTAATAGGATTACTAAGCATTGATATTTAAGAAGACCTAATCAATATTACATTTCCAATTCAGGATAATAAAAAATACACAGTAAAAAGAAGAAATAAAGCTGTGATGCCTTACTGTTCCCATGTCATAACCAGGCAGTATTACTGTACTGGAAGAGCTCCTCTGTGTTGCTGCGTTCTGTTCATGATGCTAAGGAGAAGTTTCAAGGAGAGTTGGGGGTTTGGTACAGCTGTAGCACATATTCACTCAAAGACTTTGGGGTACTTGATGGGAAGACAAAGAAGAAATGTTTCCTGTCAGGATTAATGGAAAGAGACTGGCTTCACTTGCTACAGCTCATTATAGAGAATTAGCAATGACAAATCACGTATGGCTGTGAGAGGCAGGGTGCTCTCTTCACTTTTTCCTTCTCACTTAATGAAAATGAGTGGCAATAGGTTGATCAAATGCCAGCACTGGAGCCAAAACAAGCAGTGCCTGATGGCTATGGTGCTGGTTGCGTTTCTCTGGGTTTTCTTCTTTTGCAGAGGATGTTGTGCAGTGCTGCAAACAGATGTGCTGCCTGTTAGGTTGCAGCACAGTGTGAGGGCTGAGCAATGCCTCTGCTTCCAGACATGAGCCCAGTGCTGGCATCACCACATCCTGCCTGGTGCTACATCATGAAATGTGCCCCCAGCCACATTTAACCTGCTGGCCCTGAGGAAAGAGGGGATTTGGCTTGAAACCCTTGGCTCCTGCCTAGTCACTCTCCGAACCATTTTGTAATAGCTTTAGTCTTGGCATCCCAGGAAAGATTTACAATAAGCCCTTCCTTAATGTTTGGTTTCACTTGCCCTTTTGAGCTAAGGTCAAGATCAGAGAGTAGGTAAATAAGTTGTTCCAGCTTGCAGACACCCAGCTGCCTTGTCTGTCAATTCTATCTCTGCTGCTAAACAACAGTTTATCAAAGCATTTGTTCTGTGTCCTTTTACTTTTTATTTTTCAAGCCACTAAAGAAAATGCCTATATTTAAGGCAAAGCACTGTGGCATCCGAATCATGCATGTATGAAACTGCATTGTAGTGCTTCCTGAATCAAATGTGTTACATCTGGGATGTAACAGGAGGGTTTTCTTCACAATTTTAGAAGAGAAGGAAAAAATAAAATCCCAAGCTTGCTTTAACTTTGAGAGTTTTTTGCTCCAATGGTCAATTCTTGCCCTCCCTAGAAATGTCTTATTTTAATGTTGTGGAGGATTCTGCTAAATGAAATAGCCAGTAGGCATTGATACTCTTTCCCAGTGTAAATACTAAAGGATGCGAGTGGGTCACATTTTGGTCTTTAGCTGGCTAAGTTATTGGTACTCAGCTTTGCTGGTTTGTTGTGAGACAGATTTTCCTAATCTATCATCTCAGCCATTCTTGCACCTCTTTACCTGAAACGTTGTCCACTTTCATTTTGTGGGGACAGTGGAGTCGGCACCATTTGTAAAGTCTTGTCAGTGCTGTGTCCAGGTGCCAATACCATGTTCCTGCTCTTTAGCATTGCCCGTCTAAGTGGAGAAAAAAAGCCTGGTCAACCAGTCAGCTGCTGCTCCAGGAACTCTGGTTACTGAAATTACAGGAGTGAACTTTGATCCAAACTCATCAGACAACAGCTGAAAACAAGCAGGTCTTGTTGCCTAGACCTTACTGTATTAGAGGAAGGAGAAACTAATCCTGGTCCTTTCAAATAATTTCATGAAGGATGCACAAGGAACTTTCTGAAAATGTGCTTTAAACAATAGGAAAACAAAATCTTTAAGTTTCTAGAAGAGCACAGAAATAGTGAGATGGATGTGTCCCTTTTGCCCCTTCCAATCCCCAAGGAGTGGAACAGGTTGGCCCTGATATCTCTAACCCAGTTCCTGTGACACTGACTCCCAGTGTAGCCCTGGAGGAGCTCCTATATCCAGTGCTGTGCCTGGCTTCAGGCTGCTGGCACTGGGGTGCTCCTAGAGGGAAGCCTGAGAGTGTGCGCAAGCTATAGGTCTTGGGATATGAGCTGATACACATAAAATCTTGAGCCTACTTGGTAAGAAAACCCAGAAGTGTTTCCTTTGGTGTTTCAGTCTCATTGTCAGAAAAGTAATACATATGAGGTTGTTTTCTTACTGTAAATTGGACTGTCACTGTGGAAAGGTCTCTTAATTTTCCATTTCTCCAGTGAGACCCATCATGTGTCTCCTAGCTGTGACTCTGATTATTTTAACATTTTCTCTCATTTTCCACTTAGTATTCCTGTGTGGCTCCTTATTATAAACTATTTGTTCAACTTTGCAGATGATTATAAGAACAAATAGCCTAGTGATGTACTGACCTTGTGTGTGTCTTTGACAATACCGCAACACCCCCTTCCGTAGGACACTGTTTTTCCAGACAAGAAAACCAGGAAAGAGTGGCTGAATGCCATGCATGTGAAGAACACAGACATTTCCTTACTCACTCAACCCCAGATGTTCTTTTCCCAGGCCTCATATTCAAGCCTTCATTAGAAATTTAAGAGAAATGCTTTACTGTGGCTGCTGGCTTGGCTGCTTTTCAGGTTCAGAAAGAATCTCCTATATTCACAGGCTTTTCTTCCTTTTTCTTTTTTTTAATCTTTCTAGAAACTTCTATTATCTTCCTTAATAAACAGTCCAGAAAAATATCCACATGTGCATAGTATTTTAGAGCTTCTTTGTAGCATGTTAATCTCAGAGACTAAAAAAACATCTCTTGGTCCCAATCTCATTTTTAATGGGATAGTAAACTAAGAGGATACACATGAGGATTATTCTAACCTTACCCTGGAGCTCTCTCCAGCACTATCTGGGATCTGTTATAGAACTGCCTTCTCCAGTGCTCTAGAAAAGATGTGCTTATCTTGATTTAACAAGTAATGATAGCAAAAGTCTGAGCTGTCATGCTCTACAAAGAATGGATTAGCTAATTGATTGTGAAAAGAAATACTGGGCTGGAGCTAAACACCCTTTGGGAGCTGTCCCCTCTTTGCTTTCTCCTTTAGTCCCTTGAGTACGTCTGTACATGGGTTGGGGTGGTGGTGGTGGTCCATATTAAACATAACTAACTCCTCCTCCTTCAAAGCACATGCAATGGACTGCTTGAGGTGAGCTGCTTCCTTATCTTGCACCTTTCCTCAAGCAGTCTATTGCATGTGCTTTGGAAGAGCAAAGAACTTGGTGAAGGTTCCAACCGAAACAATTCTACGATTCCTTTGATGTGCAAAGGCTTAACACACAAAGTCTGTGTAATCCTCAAAACTTTGAGGGCTTGGGGTCTTAGATGAGGACAGCACCCTGCTCCAAAATGAGAAAGAGGCTTATTTCTGTTGAAATTCATTGCTTGCAGGTGGTAGGACTTGAGTTCACCTGGAGGTGATGAAGTCCTAGCAAACATATGTGAAACACACCCTTGGAATACCACAGATGCTCTTTTACTTCTCATCGCAGCAGGTTTATCTGTCTGTATAGCTCACAGCATGTTATTTCTCTTCCTTTCACAATGAAAATAGCTACATTTTGCTGTGAGACTCTGGTCTTGAATGCATCCTTATAGACTGCTTCTGGAAGGCATCACGGAATTCCCCAAGCAGAGGCGTTGCTGCTGTCAACAGCACAATAACAGTCACACACGTGGTTTCTTTCTCCTCTCCTCCCCTTTTCATCCACACCCACCTCCCCAGGATGAAATTTCTAAAGCCTTGTACTCTGCACAGAATGCAAACAGGCATCTGGTTAGTTACAAACATTTTTCTCTTTATTTGAAAATTTTCTACCCACCAATAAAAGGCAGCTAATACATTGCATAGTATACTTTTCTTTAAGTATGCTTATTATACAGCATGTCCGAGAAAAGGAATGATTACTGGCTCTAACTTCCCACAACAAACAGTGAAGTTAATGGAATAATAAATTAAAGTAGTAGTAGTCCACATTATGTATAAAATAAATGTTAACAGAGACAAATATGATATGAATGATGACTGATTCAGTTTGCCTTCTCCTCAGGAGTTCAGTGTCTTAATAAAGTGGTTGCATAGGTTTTTATTAAAATGCAGCAGTGCTCTGAAACACAAAATCCACACAGGCTTTTTAACTGAGCAGGAATGTCTTCAAGAAAGGGGCAGTGGGAATGAAGGTGGTCTTCTGCCTCTGTGGTGGTTGTTGAGCGAGGCAGACTTCATGCTTAGTTGGCTCTGAGGCACTTACAGGGCCTGCCAACTGTTTACATTGTGGGCACTACTTATTCAGAGGACAAAACTCCACACACCCCTCAGTGTGTGGGAGAAGGAGGGTCACGCAACCTTAGTGTACTGGCCATCATCTTGTCATCATCCTATATAAGAGCTCATAGCTGGAAACTCAGTACCTGGGGCTTCTGTGGTGTTAACCCACAAGGAGGTTCTACAGGTCTTAAGGAAACTGCTGTAAGAGACTGGTCTTGTCAGTGTGCTTTCTTTGCTGTTTATCTGAACTCAGGTGGGTTCCACAGGATGGGAGCTGATCCTATGCATGGGGTGAACATCAGGGTGCCATAGGCTGCTACCCATGCTGATTGGGCTGCCTTGAGCAGGAGACAAACGCCTTGTTTATCTGTCTGGGTGCATTTCAGAAAGTGCCAGATCTGCTGTGGGGATGTAGGTATTGAACAGGGACTATCCAGAAAAGCCTGGAGAAAGCAACTGGTCAAAGAAAGGAGCAGCAAGAGATTGGGGATTGGAATGGGATTTGAGTGGCACAGTCCAGACAAGGTGAAGATCCAAAAGCCTTTACCACAACAAGGATGCTGGCTCATGTTTTACACAAAGAGAAAAGTCAACCATGTTCTGAATTACAGAGTTGTAATTCCACCTTGAGGATCTGATGACTACAGCAACCACCTGAGCTTTGCTTTGACAACCGTATGCTCCTGGATGCAATTATAATCCTGTTGTATGTCTTGGCTGCCTGGAACTCTTTTCCCTTCTATCCTTAACACTGAGGTAGAAGTTTCAACTAGTATTAAAACTCACAAAAAAATTGAACACGATCTTAGTGGGCTAGTAGTTCAATGACCTTCAGAATTCGTAAGAATCTTCACAATGTGGCTGTAAAATGAGTAATTGAAGAAGCAAAAAAAGGTAATCCTAAAAATGTCAGAGCAATGGTATAAAAAGTACAGTACTGAGGCGCAAGATGTTTTCTTCATCTATTGGCTTAATAAAAAAAAAAAACAAAAACAAACTAGATTTCCCTTTTAAATTC